GGGGGGGGGGGGGGGATCGCGCCAAACGACCGCCTCCCAGCCATTAGCTGTCCTCTCAAAAAAGCTGGATTGCCTATTTACGTATTTGGGTGAAGAAAAAGAGAAATCCAGAAAGACTTACCAATCGTAAAACGAGGTGAATCCGTTAAACTCAGAATATGAGCATGCCTGGTAAAATGCCTCACAATTGTAACAACGTTGAGTGATTCCGTCTTGCCATGGGTGACAATACTTGGAATGCCGGTCGTTGTCGAGCGCAAGCACCTTCAAGGCAGTTTTGTCGTGTTGTCTGTGCTCTCTCGAACGAAGACAGTGAAGCCAAGTGAATTTGCACATGCCCATATTTCCTCCGGGTGGGTCCGATAAAAGGAATTCTCATCAGCAACGTTCCCACAACTGTGGGAAACAGGTTGTTTCTGCAATTGGAGGCAGTCATATCACACTGCAATCCAGAACTGATGTAGTAATCTATAAGGAATCGCCAAGAAGCAGAGTTTTTAAATGGATTGGAATGTAATCGGTTGATGGTATGGGTATTGATGGGATTCGGAGCGGGTCTATTTGTGCTTTTTATTGCAAACACGATTAAAAGGAACTTGGTTGCTGATTACCCCATAATCCCTTTGATAGCAGCTGCGACGCTTTCGACTTCCTAAGCAGCTCAGCTTCTTGCAGCACTCGAATTTTCGTTCTGCTTTTGAAACAGTACAGATAAAAAACCTTGTAATTATGTTATGATATCACGTCTCTCCGTCCTCTGTCAAGCTTATCTCGAGAAAATCTCTAGACTTCAACTTTTATAGGACCATTTCTTACTGTTCAAGATGCTGCCATCTCCACATCGAGCCATTTACTCTTTGCTTCAGAAGTTCCATTAACTCGTTGGTTTTTATTACATAGCCTGTGAGAAGCTTTTTTTTTTGGGCTTCAAATTACCTAAATAGTAATCCCTCAATCACATTTATTCATTTATTTTTCTAACGTCATATTGTCGTGGTAGCCTTCTAGAGCACTTAATGTTTGCTGGATGATGTCTTTGTTTAATTCATTACCTTTGTTTTATACTTTGTTATGTTAAAACAGCCGACGTTTGGGTATTCGTAGTCATCCTAGTAAAATAGTAGGTACAATCTTCAGTGATCATTTGAGGCTATCAAAGAAGTGTACCCAATTCCTCTGAACTCGTAAACTGATTTGCAACTAAAGTGGGAGTTGAAATAAAGCGCAAAGCAATCGTTTCTTTTCTTTCTTCTTATCTACGATTTCGAACAGTACGTTTTTGTTGTGTAGCTCTCATGGGATGTGATAAACTTTGCGGGTTCGTCCTCTTCATTTCACCCCTACTTGGCTGAGATTTACCTGGTGACAAATAGACGACAGGCGTCTTCAGTTGTTTGTAGCCATCTGACAAACCATCTAAATAACCTTATGAATCCAGCCTCTTCACACTACAAATCGTTTTTTTTTTGGAGCGGGAATATCAAAAGGAGATATGGATTAAGAGCGCGTTGATTGAGATTTATCGTAAATATCTTCTAAAGTGAGCCTTTCGAGAAGGGGAGTATCGAGAGAAAGGTGGATTAGTTACAGTTGTCGTTCGTCTTCCTACTGCTATACAATATCCGAACTGAAATTCGATACCTACATAATCTATTCCTTCAGGTTTACCTCACCAACCGTTTGCTATGGGGCTGAAACACAAGAGGAGAAGGACAAGGAAGGAAATCGTACGTTGAACAAAGGCTTATGGGTTTTCTTCGTTACCAGTTGTAGTTACCAGGAAATCGGCTTCGGCTAAGCCTACAAAGATATCGAATCTTACAAGATGTACCGAATTACTTTAAGTTTTGAAAACAAAAACCAAAGTCGATATCGAATCATTTTTAGACGACAATAATTAATGAAAATGACGGTGGAGACTTTGTCAGACGTCAGAATTTTTTTTTTCAAAGTAGTTTGTTAGAAATATAGTTTTAGATCTCGGTAGCGGTGTCGCCAGCTTGTTCGACTATTGCAGAGGAGTGCAGCGTAGCAACCAGAAAAAATCAAAGCCAATCGATTTCCCATTCAAGCGGAAACGATGGTAATGACTGGTTTCGATTGTCATTTTCTTTGCACTCGGCGTTCGAACTTTATGTCATTGATGGTACCGCGTTTATCGCTAGAGCAGTCTATCGCCATTGACTATCTGTCACTACTGTTCTCTTTGATTTGATTAGAAATGACGGTTGTCCCGTTCTTTTCCTTTTGAAGTGAGTAGTTCCAGATCAAATCTGGTTGTAAATGAATGATGCACTATCGGTTATTAGCCTCTCATTGAAAAGAAAAGAAGGCCGATAACTTGCTCAAACCTAATTGCTGCTTTCTGCCCAGCGACCAAGTGCTTTTCTGAATTCTATCAGCAGAGCAGTAGATGAATTATTCTTACTAGTTCTCACTCATCACTCAATATACCAGCACTCGAAACAGTAAGCACTTCGTAGACCTACCAGCTTTCATGGCGGCTATTATACGCAAAGTTTTCAGAAAATTTATGAAGATCTTCTTTTTTAACAGCAGCCATTCTCCTTCCTTTTTCTCATCAGCAAAGGTTTCTGAAAACATTTGTTAAACACTTTTTCATTGGTTTCTTAGAAGATACCTGAGCGTCCATGAACTCATAATCCTACAATTATGTGGTAAAAAGAAATACCGTTAGAAACCACTCAAACTCACAAATCAAGCAAGTCCTCATCAGTTGCAGTAGAACCTCGAATTTCTTGCCTCTCCGCCTGTCTTCGTCTCCTTCCATTCTGACAGACCGCAATTTAACTCATATTTATGCTATTCTTTCACAGCACAATGTAATGTTCTAGCGGAACAAACCGTCAACTTACATCTGCCTTCATTTTCTCTTCCTCAATCTTTTCAGTCCACCTAAACCACCGGTCATCTGTTCTTCTATCCTTTCATAGACTTTCATAATATCTGGTCAATCGAAGTTTTCCTCATTTCTTTCGCATTCGTCATAAGATCTAGTTCTATTAGCTGCAGCGCCGTTTTCTCACGGGAGCCCATTACATTTCCAATTTTTGTTATCGAAACCTGTTCAGTGGAAGACATACCCTCAACCCAATAGGCCAGTTACGCTTCCCAGTTAGAAGAAAGAGGAGAAACCCATATCTACTGCAACAACATGGGGTACTTGGAATCAATTAGAGCGTGGATTCAATTCAAGAAGCCCTGATCCTATGGGTCGTCTCTCATAAAGAAAAAAGTCTCCCAAAGTCAAGGATTCCGCTCTCTCAAACTTGGCAGAGCTGCAAAGTGAAAATATCTGTGAAACCTCTATGATCATTTGGTGTGATGGTAAGAAGGTTGCAGTGACGGGTAATTGACCATAAGTACACAAAGCCTACTCTGAAGAAGTTGAAGTCACCGAGAAGGTGGAATAAAGGATGCGGCTGGAAGTTTTTGGCAAATCATTGCAACAAAAAGAGGCGCTCACCTAGAAATTATCCTTATTCGCTCAGTTTCACCCTAGGCTGACGTCTTTGTCTCTTTGTCGTGAACTTCTCTCAAGGCTTGGCCAAGTACTTATAGTTTCAAGTTCTTCTACAGTTTTCGTGGCTGAGATCCTAGGGAATGAGTAGCCAACCTTACTCCACGGAACTGAAGTAGAAAGAGGTGACTGTGGGATCAGATCAACACTGGTAGTGCTTAGTGTGTAGCATAGGAAGCATCAGCACGGTTGTTTTTCATCGTGAAAGCATAGGAGTAAAAAAGAACCTGGTCAAATGGAAAGAAGGGAAGGTCATGGGAATTAAGCAAAAACGTGCACGTGAACGAACGATTTGTGGTGTGTCGAAACACGAAAAGGGGTTACGGTATTCGTGGAGGAAGATGTGTGTCGTACTATTTAGAGGAAAGCTGGGAACATCTCGTGGTGTCTGCGCAGCGGCGCTGGCACCATCACCGCACGGTCATCGCCCATCCCGCCTCGTTGTTCATTTAAACGTTCTGCGCATTGGGTCATCCGCCGTAAGGCAGGGTTAACTCTCGTTCAAAGTTAGGCCAAAACCTTCATTTTAGTCATATATTGTTTTTTTTTTGTTGTAAGAAGTATTGTCTTGCTTGTGCATTTGATTTGAAGCCCGTCTATGGTCACAACCCAACATCCGCCCAAAATTTTGTTTTTTTTTGTGCTCTATCTGGATTCTGTCTCATCAACTGCCTTTAATCTGATCTAGCTGATTGGCAGCGAGTCAAAAGTAGAAGTGTTGAAGAAAAATTCGTGGGAATTAAGGCTCCAGTCTTCGAATGAACAGGAAGAAAGTGGAATGGCCATCCTCGTGACCGTTTACTTCAGTGCAGTTTTTTTTTGTGATACTGAGCCTACCTGGGAATTTTGCCTGGCATCCACCTAGGTTATGATGCGATTGTGTTTGCTTGAAATCAATGCTCAGGAAGCTCTAGCCAGGTAGGTGCTAGACCTCAGAGAAAAAGAACTTCGTACGTGTTTTTTGTCTTGCAACGAACTAGTTTGAATGTTATCAGCTGTTGCACTTGTTTACGATAGCTTTATTGTCGAAGGTTTGATGGCATCTTTTTGTGATAAGTCGCACTCCTTTCCCGTTAAGTAGTTGCCAGTAGTGAAAAGGCAGAATTCCTGGGGTGGGTGGGGTTTATCAGTCACTTACGTGCCCTCGGAACGGATCAGGAAAGTTATTACTAACCGGTGCACGATGGATTCGCCTTATCGGGCGTGCCGCTCTCAAAGAACATTCTCCGTCTTGGCAGTGTTTTTGAATAATTTCTTCATTGTACAATGCATTGGGAAGACTTCTCAGGCGCGATTAGTGTCCATGTTCTTTCTAAATGAGAATTGATACATATAGGGCATCATGTTGAGTGAACGTCTCCTCTCTTGGAAACAATTCATCATACAGCGTTTCGTTTTGATGAAATCGTTTTGTTTTTGTTCGAATCGAATTATCTAACGCAGTCGGGCTGATCCGATGTGTACGATTTGTCGTTTATTAATATGCGACGTACTTTTGGATTTCGCATGATCTGGCGTCCGTAGGTCGCCTGAGGCGGATCTGCTCTGAGAACAACTGTAATGTTTGCGACTTCACTCAAATATGTGTTCGATATACTAACAGGTACTGTACTTACTGTATTGCAAATTTCTAGATGCTAGCTGTTCATTGACCCGATTGTCTCCCAAAAAATCTTGTCGCTTTTTTTAAGCGAAATAAGACAGCATTTTGCTTCCTCTCCATTTTAATTGATGCTTCTAGATGAGTGCTCTCTAAGCAACTTAGGAATCTCGAAAATTGTTTCTTCAGAGTTCCATCCTACGGTCCTCTTTACAAGACGTGATTCTGTCTCCTGGAATTTCTTAATCATCTTTGATAACAGCCTTGACAGAGGCCGCTCTAGAGTTGCTCGTTGAGTTATACTGAGCAGGCAAAACATCCTCTTGTTACATTTCACTGTATCCAAAGCCTACAATTTTTTTTTTCTGTTTGTGCTGATCTGATTCCCCTTTTTCATGATTAGGGCTTGAAATTCAACTCAGCGCGATTCTGGAGCTGGTAGGGTCTGTCTAATGTAAGTTGAGCATGGGCTTGAGGAGGCTTCCGCTTATTGCTGTTTTGTGCCGAAGACTCCGCTTGCATATTATGCCCAACTGACAGTCTCCCTCTAGTTATTTTATAGCTTTGCTTTGAAAGTCATCGATGTCATTTTTTCAGTAGTCATGTTAAGGGAGGCGAAAAACCTAACAATATTGGTTTCTTTCAAGCTGAGCTATGCGCTCAGATGTTTTTCTTTAGTCATGGAGTGTATACACTTCTCACTGTATTCTTCTCCATACTCTAAGTGATTCATCTATAGATTCGTCGTTGGTCTCTTCGTCAGTATGCGTTGTGAAAGGAAATGCGGCAGGCACCGCGAAAGTTCCTTGTGAAGAACCACGGAAGGATGGCGACGGTATAGAAGAGAATACCAAGGTTGGCTAATTGAATTGATTTTTCTCTTTGTAATGTCTTCCCCCATAATTTCACTTCCGTTCCACATTGAAGACGTTGTCTGAAGAGTGAAAGATCTAGATGGCCCTTTCTGAGCCTTTCCAAGTTGATAGACTTTTGTTTTTTGTCTTCTAGAGCTTCAACAGCACCGCCAGCAATGATACGGACTGGAAGACTGCTTATGAAGGGATTGATTGTATAACTTCTAATAGTTCTGGCCCCAGAAATATTCCTAAAGTCCACTCAGTGAAGCATAAGGCTCATACAGCGAGAGCTTTGAAAGCAGAGGAGCGGCGGAGGCGGAGTCTCCGGAATCCTGTCAAAATTGCTCCTGATGTGAACGTCGAGGTACAGTTGTAGTGATTGGCTGTTGTGTTTGAGTTTTTTTTTTCATTTCTTTGAACCAATAAATCATCTAAAATTAGTGCGTATCTTTAATCCCTTGACGTATACATTGATTCAAACATTTGCTCATTTTCACTGTCGAATATCATCTTCCATGATATTCAGTGGAATTTTTCAACGCCTAGGTGTTGCTTGTCTTGAAATGCTACGAATAAAATCTAAGTGTAAAGGAGCTTTTATTTATTTATTTATTTATTTATTTATTTATTTATTTATTTTTCACTTTCTCTATCAAGCCTCTTCGAACCTTTGAGCGCTGCTACCTTTTTGCGAAAATGACTTCGAAACTTTGCTTTAGTCAAAAGGCCTACAAAGACTTCGTGATGTCGTGTCCTCGTTCGCCGCCGAAACTACCACTGAAGATCAACGAGCTCATGATCTGGAAATAATAAATAATGCTATTGAGAGCAATTTAAACTATCTATCGCGGTGCAGTTTAAGGAATGATTTAATGTGTAAGTCCTTAAAAGTTTTCTTTGAAGTTTTTTTTTCGTCGTTCGCACGTCATATACTATTTACAGTGCTTCGGCGAACAGTCATTCGCGGATTATTTATTAAGCGTATTTCAGCACTTGGCGTTCTCAAAGGCGTTACTTTCGCTTCAAATACGATGCATCCGATGTTAAATCGTGAATTACACAGATTAGTACAATCCGAGTCCAGGGACATGCTCATACAAGGTCTGGATATTTCCACTCAAGTGAAGATTTGGAGCTCTTACAGAGCACCTATTTTGGAAGCTTTTTTGCATTATGGAAAACATTTTCAGAGCCTCCTAGAGGTTCACGAGATCCACGTTGTGCAGTTGACTTGCTCTTCGAATGGTTTGATGGTTCTAAAGATCTCGATGAGCTGTTAAGGAAGGTAAGTGATTATGACTGCGTGGTCTTAATTGAATAAATCGCCGCCCTTGATACCTGTTTGTTTGCTGCCCTGCCGGAGCAATTAAGTCGGCCATGATTCCTACTAAAAACCTGAGGGTTGATTTTTTCGTTGATTTACGAATAGTTGTCGTAATCATTAATGGTTGCCTGTCTAACAATGTTTTATTAGAATCGTATCGTTCAGCACAACTTACTGCGAATTCTGGTGAAATGCCGTCATGGCATGTCTGAAGCCATGTGGGACATTCTGATGGAGCACTTTTCGAAGACCATGGGGTCTGATATTCTAGAAGACCAAAGTGAGGCGTCATCTGCGACAAGAAATGGTGATCTTAAGTGTAGCTAGATATATAGGCATTTTGTAATCTGTTATCTGACTACAGTTCCGAAAGCCAAATCGGGAGCGCTATCCCTAGCCGACTCCTTGAACGTGCGTTCAGCTGGCTGTACTTCACCTTTTGGAAACAATGAAAACCGCTCAGAATCAGCTTCAACAAGTCCTGCACCATCAGATCCTGATCACGAAGAGGTTATTGTTTCTCATTTATCTCCTATTTTTTCTTTTACATTCGAAATCTTATGGTATTTTCAAAGTTTTGCTGAATTCGTTATTGCAACGTTATTCATTCAAGAAGCCAAATGCCCCTCCATCAAAAAGCAACGTAAATCTCACGGATTTCAATGTTCCCACTCTCAGGACAAATGCACCCATGCCGAAAGTGAAAAGGAGACCGCGGTGAGTTACAGCGTTAATATGGTTTCTAGAGTTGGATGCGATTTTGCTCAGGCTGTCAGATAACGATTTCTCATTCTTTGAATGCCTGTGAATCATTCTCATTCCTTATATATGTTTTTGTCTTTAAACATGTCTTGAAGAAGCAGACAGTAGGTGCTCAGCTAACTCTTGTCAGTTCGTGGGGCCTTTTTTGAATTTGAAGCGTGTAATAAGTAGTGATATTACCGTAGCGCATACTTTTTGTCGGAGTATTGATTACTTTTTCCCTTTATTTCATCCGTTCATTCCTCCGAACTGTTGTACTTTCTAAAAGATCTTTTTAAATGTGCAGTATCCCAAGCATGAACGTCGTCATGATTTTTGTAACTTCATTCTTTTGAAACCCTTTTCATTCTTCATAACGCTATGTCCTTGCTGCGCGGTCTTTCAATCTCAAAAACTCTAAATAGGACACAATATGAGTGCATGGAATTCCTCGAAGCGAGGTTTTCACGTAAAAGAACGCCAGATGGGGATTCTGAGAAGGGACCTAAACGGCGATGGAGAGTCCATAGGCTCCATGCATAGAACAAGCTTACCGAAAATTCAATTTGTTCCTACTAGATGGATTTGTGATCGCTTTTTTTTGAGCCTATCTGAACTCTTTATCATATTAAGGAAGTATATACTTAACATTCAACTTGATGAATTTTTTAAGGTTCAGAAAGCACATACCAAGTTCAAGCTTCGTTATTGTATGAGTTTAGGAATTTATTCCCTTCTACCTTAGCGTCTTTAATCCTTTACCTGCTAGCTGACCCTTTGTTTGGTGGAACTTTCTGCATTTTCCGTTAGGTTTTTGACGTGTTGGTTTATCGAACGTTGGTTTTTTTTCATGATAGGGCAAAGGCGACTGCTGTGATTTGATGGATGTGGTTCTCACAAAAAAATTTGTGATTATGATCGTCGTTAAGATTCTTCCAATATTGTAGACATGTGCTCGAGTTCCATGACTATAGTTCCTTTGCTTGTTGTGAGTTTGAGAAATCGGTACGATTTTCTATCGCTTTTTTCTTTCTGTCACGGTTTCCTTTCGTTTGTGTCGGCTCCTTTTGATGTGGTTCCACTCCAACTCCATCGCGACCAAGAATCGTTTTTTCACCGCGTTTTTAAAATTCCTGAGAGTGGGAGAAGGGATAAATCATGAGCCCCGTAGTCTGTGTGGTCTTCTATTGATAGAGTTGTCTGGGCGTTGTGTTAGGGAGCGGACGGTTGTCACTTTCAACAAGTCATGTTCGTTTCGTTTAAATGTAAGATATTTGGACCTCCAAAAAAATGGCTACGATCCAGTCCAGCGCATAGCTCAATAAACTCGTTGAAACCTCATTTGAGGAATACAGATCTAGCATGGTCGGTTCTGATTGACTACGATGTGGTCATTGCGGTGCTACCACGTCTGACGGTTACCCATTCCTTTGATCTTTGACGAATATTTTAAAATTCAAGCACCGGCCGGATACGCTCTCTTTCTATTCCTAGTTCGAGACATTAATTCAGGAAAAAGTAATATCGGAAACTTCGTTGGTTTTCACAAAATCTCATGCATTCCCGGTTTCAATGTTATAGTTTCAATAATCGCGGCTGGCCGCGTGCTGGAGGTCCCGTCAGCCGTCTGAGCGTTTTGTTCAGGAACATCACTGCCGTCGCAGCTTTTAGAATAGTTCTTATAGTTTTGACATAGATTATTTACTCTACGCCTTTCTCTCTATTATTCGTGACTACCCGCTTTTCGCAATATAATGAATACGAAGAGAGGTTCTGTAGTGAGGAACGTGGGAAATTGGCAGATATCCACTCTTTCTTATTCAATGCATGTTTTTCAGTATTTGATCTGGAGGTACAAGAATTTTCTACAGGTCTGTCTCACGTCATCATGCTACTCGTCTCGCCTTGATTCCACCGAATGAACGCTCTAATAACAATTCAGAAGCTTCACTTGGTGGGTTGCGTAGTGCGCTTTTTTAAAGATACCTAGCAGAAGGGTCATTTCAAAAATTTACATAAAACTGTGAGTGTTGCAAAGGTCAATGACTGAAATAAAATATGTTCTTGTTGTATGTAGTGGTGATTTTGTCCATTCAGATGTTCTACAAGGAGAGCAGCCTACGCCAGGCGCTCATGAACAAGCAACCACGACGAGTGAAACTCCTGCATCCGTTACTCCATGTCCCGCTACTTCCCGATCATCAAAAGGCCAATCTTACTCTATGTCGTTTGTAACTATCGCTCCTTCAATCAATGCTTGTCAATCAACTGGTAAGCTCCTTCTATTTCCGTCATGAGTTCATGTGGCCCATCATAAGAACGTGTTTTTTCTCTAGGGTCTTCCACAACTATGTCTCCATCCACTGCTCATGAATCTGAGGGTGTGTGGGTAATCTTACTATGATCATTAGATTTGTCGAACTTTTACCTATTCACTTCAGCTTCATCTGTTCCGTTGCCTCCTCCTGATCCCCTTGTGTCACAAGAGCAGCCGTCGACGTCAGGTACCAGATCTGAATACTTTTAAATTACCGCCGTTGGATTACCTTCCCGAAGTAGACCGCCTCCATGGTGATGTCGATCATAAATAGCTTTACATCTTATTTAATAATATAACTTCCCATTAACAGTGTAAAAAATTTCATCACCTTAGCTATATACTCGTTTCAAGAATGCAATGCAGGGACGGCGTTACTCTCTTCTTTCTGTTAAGTCCTTTACCCAGATAATTGTGTTTATTTCTAGTTCATAAAGTTTTTTTTTTTGCGACTGATTATCGCGGGTGTTAGTAAGCTTGGGCAGAGTGTTGTAGATAATACGTAAACAATGCATTCATCTCAAGGATTAAACACAAATTGAGGGAAGAGCTCAAAAAATGTGGGGGGGGGGGGGCATAATGAAAGGAAAACGAGGCGATTTTCTTTCAGGCCTCCTTGATGAAGTTGGTTCTATGTCGAGTGACAAGCCCTCAACGTCAGAAAATGTTACCGGTATGTTTCGTAATGGTTTTAAGTTTCTCAAAAAACTTTGTGATTTTTTCGAAATAGATAGCTATTTTACGAGTAGGGTGCATATTCAGTTGTTCGCGTACATTCCGATCCTGCCATTTCACTGGCTTCCTCACCATCAGATGCGACGCAATGTCAGTTTTTTTTTGTTTCGTCAGATTACGGCAGAAGATCAGTATTACACTCTTGAATGGTTGATGATTCAGCTTTTAGGCGACTCCATGGACAGGGGAGGTAATACTCCAGTCTCTGATTCCCTATCTCACAAAGAAGACGGTAAGTGAATCTCATAGCTCCCTTCTGTTATTTCAGTTTTTAGTTGGGTCTAGAACTTTTTTTCAAGCATCTCAGGAAAATTTGCATGAGCTGTTTTAGTTCGGCAGGATTCTACGTCGACTGTTTCGCCAACGACAACGACAAGAAACCCTTCCGGTGCACTACCCGGTCCATCTATTCCAGTGTCTTCAGCTCCACCCCCACCACCTCCTCCAGCTCCTCCACCACCTCCACTTGGGCTTCTGAGTAAGTTAGTTTCCTTTCACGCTGACCGCTTTAGCGATAATCGAACCTTAGAAGTGCAAACGGGTGGTGCCGCACCTGGTCCGCCTCCTCCTCCGCCACCACCACCACCTCCGCCTGGAATACTAGCGCGAGCTTCAACATTATCGAACTCGGCGTTGTCCCCTTCTTGTGAGTGTTTTTTTTTGGTTGGAGCAAACGGAATATACATATAAAAAGACGACGTTGTTGCAAAATGTCGAGTAATCTTCCTGTATATCAGAATCTGTACGGTCTGCTGGCCGTACAGATTCTGATATACAGATAAAGTCACTGTCATTTTTTGATATCAAACTGAGAAGTCTATTTGAAGATTTCGTATGGGAATTGGTCGGTCTAGGTCATCAGGTAGACAAAAAAGATTCAAATACTAATACATATCACAAAAAAAGTTCAGTCTATTGTGAAGATATTGATAATCTCCAATCTCCCTATCAGTGAACGGTAGGTCATTGCAGGCACCGCTAGAACTGATGAGATCTATCCGAAAAAGAAGAAAACATACACATTACTTTGGCAAGCCGTCAGCCAGCATTCCATAACAAGTGAGTGGTTTTCGTTTCTCCTACTTCCGTTTTTTTCCTTTTTCCGTTGCTGAAGATATGATCTAATGATGTTAAAGTTTGCTTCTGATGCTCAATTATCTTCAAAAAGTGTTTTAAGATGTCCACACGGTGTGGAATGAATACTCAAGACCAGAGTTCGGCGCTGAAGAACGAGATCATGTATGTCGTTTTAACTTGCAAAGTTATTTTCATGATAAACCTCTTTATAGGTGCAACTGCTATTTGAAAGAGCGGAACCTTCAGCGCTATCACGTTTTGCGACCGAAAGACGTAGTGTTCGTGAAAGACCCACAGATGAGTCCATATTCCAGCTGTCACAGCAGAAGGCGCTCAACCTTGAGATAATCCTTGCCAAGTACGTTCTTAATAATTTTCTACTTTTTCCCATCAATTAGAATGAAAGGTCACAGATTTTGTGGAACTCAGTGCTTTGTCGCAGGCTTCGCCCTCTCACCGTTATGGATCTTATTGAGCGATTGGAGTCGAATAACATGGAAGGGATATCGATCGATTTACTGTCTTCACTGCTCAAGTACTTCCCAACTGATGAGGAGGTTATTTCTGTTTCGATCACATGTATGTTATCATTACTGAATGCCTACTCCAACATTCCAGATGCTCCTGTTCAAAAGAGCTGCTCGTGAAGACGTTAAACGCAACTGTGACATATTATGTTGGGAAGCGGCACGTAGAGCCACTCTGAGAATAAGAGCTGAATTGGCAATAGCTCGGGAGCAAATTCTTCAGGACGTATGTGCCTTTTCAGCTCTAGAAATTTCTCTCAATTTCCACTCGAATGCTCAAACATACGTCATACTATTCCTATGAGTGCTCACTCTTGAACTCGCTACCAGTGGCCTTTAGTATGATCGCATGAACGGCTGTACTTTTATGTACGAAGTCCGAAGCTCTCAGACGCCATTTGTGGGTCACTTTTTTTTTATCATTGCGAATGGTTTGATTCGTTATGTCAAGCCAGCGAAGCTTCGATCTGTTCGGTCTCTATTATTTGGCGATACACGGCTTGTTTTCTCTTTTTGACAGGATGAGAATTCGTACCTTATCATGTGCATGTCCCTGTACTCGTTACATAAGCCGGACATGATTATAAATATCTCTATGACTTTAGAAATTGAATTTGAGTGAATGATGATCAGAAGCTCTGAGAGTGATGGGTGGTAATTTTGAGCAGTTCATACTTATGACGAAGGCAGACGTAATTTACTGATTTCAGCTTACGCGCCACTCACAATCAACGCAGAGAATACGTGATGCGAGTGAAGCTCTTCGATCAAGGGTGCTCGTCCACCTCATGCACAAATGCCTTCAGTATGGTAACTATATAAATCAAGTATGTGGCTGCCGCTTAAACCATGACACCTTGTGAGATGAATTCGAACTGAACTTTGGCAGGGTACAGCGCTGTCGAGAGCTGTTGGCTTTTCCTTGTCTTCGTTGCCTTCTGTTCTGAGTGCCAAAGGGAAGGTCTGTGAATGTATCTTTTTAAAACTTTCGTTTCTATCAATCGCATTTAAGCGCTTTCAAGATTTTTTTTCTAGCAGGTCAGTACCTCGAACATAAGGCTTGTTGATCTTCTTGCTCAGTTTGTTGAGTTTGACACTGTGGCTTTGGAGGACGTGATTTCTCGTTTGCAGTTGGCAAGGTAACAATCATATTGCGGTGACGTTTCTTTTTCACCATAGATTACTGGGAGCGCTGAAAGAATTCGAATTTCTCGGATTGAATTGTAATGCTCGCTGACCTTATTCATTGAAGCGAGTTGTCAGATATTTTCTCCGTTGTGAATGCGGTGGCGAAAAAGCGGTTGAAAGAGAGTTTGTGTCAATTTCGTTCTACCATAAAACGTTCAGGAGATGAGACGATCTGGCAATCTGATCATGGGGGCCTGAAAATCGCTGTACAACATGTTCTTCTGTTAGAGCTTATCCATTACAAAAAGTTCGAAGGAGTAAATTATGATCGTATTCTTTTTAGATCGATTACACTAGACGATATCGAGTCTGCATCAAAGGAGTTAACAGCTTCAGTGAAGCGATTGAAGCTTCAACTGAGTTCGAGAGGAGGTGGCGATGTGTCGCTGCTGGAGGCATATCAACCATTTCTAGAGGTTCTTTTTACTATCATGTTGTATTTTGCTTGTAATCAGCATGTTTATGGGTCTTCCAGGTGGCGGAGTCAAGCTGCTTGAATCTGGCATCCGATTTGCGAGAACTTCGTTCAGTGGAAAGTTCCCTACAGTCGTTTCTGTGTGCGAATACCATGAAGCTAGAGGAGATCATATCAACCACCTCCGAAGCTTTGACTATGTTGTCGGATTCGATCAAGGTAAAAAATCTATTTCTTCTTTCACTTTTCAGGGTTCCATCATAGTCCTTGGTAGTTTTGTCCTCGTCTAGCTAGCTATATTCGAGAGTTTCGTTGAGCTTTGCGGATTTTTCGTTTTCATTGATTGTATATCACGATTTGGCACTGTGGACTGGAATGTCAAAGAACCGATGGCCCCAAGGTGATTACTACTTCCGTTAGTAGTACTCCCCATCTAATTGTAAGAACTGATTCATCCGCATGTGACAGTCTTCCGGTGAATAAGGCAGCAGCGTGAGCGTTGGGTTGATATTGCGCTCTTTCTTCCTCCCTCCCGCAAGCGCTAGCTTTATTTCCCTTTACTGTGACGGACCAGCTCAGATTCATGATTGCCAGTAGCCAATATGCACAGGTAGTTTTGGGTGTGCTCCTAAACCCAGTAAATGAATCGCGATCTTGCGTTAAGTCAGTATTTTTTCTTGTCAAGTCTGCCTAATGGGCTCAGTCTTCTTAGGTTTATTGGATATTTCTTTGTCAGGCTAAGTCTATATATGTGATATTAAGAAGCGTGCCATGGTGAAGCTGCGGTCGGCATCGGTAGCGACGGGCAGACAGCTGGCTGGACGTGAGCGCTTCTCCATGCAGCGCCGAAGTCTTCAACCGAGTCGTCCAAGTGTCGACGCGATGAGGCAGATGTTCCTCGATGCAGCTAATCAGTGAGAGCGGAAACGTCCAAGACAAATACCTCTGACGATAGAGGTTCAAAAATATATATGCGGTCTTCTCCTAGTCCTTTTTCCTCCCGATGATCTAATCCCTCACCCCCTTCCCCTAACCCCCTGCACTAACTGTACAGTATGGCATTTCAATGACATTTGGTAAACACCATCATGACTATATTGCCTTACTCTCATTATTAATCAGATTCCCATCTTCCGTGTGCGTCGATCTCTTAGCGTATGTACATTCAAATATATACACGACCATGTCGTATTGTATTGGCTATACTAACTGTAAAGTGCTACTAATGAAAATTATTGTATCAGAAGTGGTGTTTTGTATCTGATTATGGCTGTTAAACAGTACTTAATTAAGGATTTATATAGATTTCTAATGACGACTGCGTAATTACTGTAACATTTCAACTAGTATGATGGGAGAAAAATTCGTGAAATTCAAAATCAGAGGGGGCATGGAGAGTACAAAGAGAACCGGAATGACTGCAAATACGAGTATAATACACGTTATAAAGGATTCATACAAAGTTTGAAGCGAAAGAAAAAAAATGAAAGGAGAAGTGATGCCCCAGAAGATGAGCACCACGATGTCACCTTTTCAATGCGGGAGGAGTATTGTGCCATGGGAGAAGGATATGTGAATAAGAAAATGAGGCAATGCTGATTACATCGAGGCTTAAGCGATCAGACGCAACCATATTCGTACCATACGGTGCTCTCATTAGCTCGGACCTCTGCTTGTTGCACGTTTTCGTAAATGCTCATCGCCTTATCGAGACGTTCTTCCTGGAAATGATTTTAGCAATTTCAATTGAAGCGTTTCGTAAGCGCAGTAGCGGACCCGAAAACATTGTGAGGTGACTGGACCGCATTGGCAGTCCCTCACTTTCTTTTCGAGCATCTTACTGATATCGCCTCTCCCAAATGAAAAGTACGTGCTACTCAAAGTAACCCTGTTCTGAATTTTTCATCTGAGAAAAGACCAATTCCGGATGTGTAATCAGAAAGCCCACGACCTACTGAATATTCATTGAAGCAATACAAACCTTTTCTCTCACGAAAGTTCGCCGTTCGCCTTCGCCGACGACAACGTCCAGTGGTTTCTGAATCTCTCTAACGGGTGAACCTTTGTCGCTTTTTGGCGTTGAAGCGGACTGAGGAACAAATGAGGGCGGCAGTGGGGTGGAGCACGAGGATGTCACCTGTAAAATTAGAAAAATCCACAATGGAAAACCATTTTCGTGATCATAGCAGCTACAGGTCGATCTTGAGCGGTCAGTGAGCTATACTAACACTCATCCTCCTCACGGGATCAGTTTGGAGGTCTGGCACACAACTCAGGTGAAATTCACGCTCGCTTCCACTTGCATTCTTTTTTCACAACTCTACCCAGCGAGCATCTCAAATATATACGTACACCTACCGAAGATGCTCGACCGGGATAGGGTGGCGGTTTCTGCTTCCCGTTGGAAGAATATGGAGGGGGAGGTGGACGAGTGCGGAGTGAAGCAGTAGCACCAATGTTCCTAATGGGTGCTCGAGGCGGCAGAGCAGTTACTTGTGGACCATCAGCAGACTTCTCGGCACCTAAAAAAGGATAACTCAGAGATCCGGTTGCTCCTGAAAGAAAGAAGCACCCACCGTTATAGGAGACCTGATTGAGCGTGGGTGTTCGACGAGGGGAATAGTCCCTGAGTGAACCGCCGACGGCATCATTACGGAAACGAACAAAGTCGTTGTGGATTGCCTCTGTATCGTCAGAAATTAGATTCCTCCGTGGAAAATACAATTTTATGAAGAAAGCATACCCAGGGAAGTAAATGTCGATTCATGAGGCGGTGTTATACGATCGTGGTCTTCGGAAGAGGAGCACGTTGGTGGAAATGGATCGAAGTCGTCAATTCCTGAAGACAGAGAGTGATGCTGTGCTTACAGATGAAGCTGAGAGTGGAGAGTGAAGAAGAGAACTGTGAGGATAAAGCGATGAACAGATGTGCTAGTTGAGCTATAGCCAGAGCCATGGAAAGAGTGTCGTTGAATTCTTAGCTTCAGTGAAGTGAATCAACTGAAAATGTCTAAGAGGACTACTGTACTAGTTGAGCTCCACAGCTGAGAAACGACAGGGATCTACACAGACTCCCCATTTCGATAATTATCAAAGATACTCAAAAAAATCACAGATTTAATCATGACACTATGTGTTTTATGCGATCTCTACCACCAGAAACCCACAAACCCCAAAAACCTCCCATTCTCCTCTACTGTGCCAATCATCTACTACTTTTTGGATTGAATATTGTTTCAAAGCCAGTGCAATCAGCATATAATACATCTTCACATGTGCAAGCGAAATAGGAGGTCCATGAAAAATAAGAACCAGAGACAGGCATTTCCTGTAGTAATTAACACAAGAATTCCCAGAAATATGAGGTGGGTTGATCGGCGGTGCAGGGCTTGAAGTGTGACTTGTAGATTTCGAGATTCCGTTTTCAATATTTGATCGAGTTTCTTTCGATGACCTTTGAGTACTTTTGTTTTTGAGTCAAGCTCCCGGAAGATATTCTCGAATCCCTGTTTGAAGGGTCGAGCTATTCTAGGAACTTTTCATGGGTGAAATCCTTGGAAATTAGAAATTAATGAGTAGTCATGCCATGCAGAAGAAACTTAGACAATTCCAATAACGTTCCTATAGAAGTGGAGAGGAAAGAAGCAAAGTAAGCACTTTCCGTTTCCCCAGACTCCCTTTACTTCCACATCAAATTCGTGAGAGCTAAAAAATCAACATGTATCGTGCCTTCTATTCGTCAACACTAATTCTACAAGCACATGAACACCAACGAAATGTGGAAAATGTGTGCAACAAGTAGAAACTATAACAAATAGACTTTATCGATTTATTGATCAGACAAGGACATTTGAACACGAGGACATGATCACAGGGAAACGAGTACATAGAACTGTATAGACTACGAAAAACAAGACGTTTTTCAACAAGGCAACAATTATCACGCACACACACACGAAAACAACGGACCCATACAAAGACAGTGACTTGACGACGGCAGTGCGCAACCCCCCGCGCCCCTCGCGCAATTTCACCAATTATTGATCGGAGGTGTCATACTGTACATCGATCATTTTGCGAACATTAGGATTTGTATAAGCGCCTTGAAAAGTGTCATCACGAAACGTCGAGCGTTTCTTAAACGTCGGCAACCGCAGCGACGCTTTACCGTACACGATGCTGCGTGCTGGGACCGGCGGTGCAGGGGTTGTAGCAGTGGCGCTCGTCTTAGGTGGTGGTGGTGACGTTTGGGTGTTTTGTGCAGCGGTGTCTGCAAGTGCAGCTTTGTGCTGGGATTTACCGTTTACGAGTGGTGGCGATCCCTCATCAGCGCTGTACACACTGCTGTCCTCGGTAGTCGAACCACCGCTTGGCACTGATGGACGACGCTGAAAAGAGGAAGATAAGGGACAGAAAGAAAGGGAGAGAAAGTGATTCTTGTTCGAGTGACAGCAAACGTACCCTGTTGATCAGAGCCTTTGCCGCTCGCTTCACCAACGGTTGTTTCTGTCGCTCAGCGGATTTCTTGTTTTCCATCGATCGGTATTGATCCATAATTTTCTCTTCCAGCTTTTCTTTATGACGTTGAAGAGCGTTGAGCTTATCCTGAACAGCAAACATAATTCATCAATCTACACTCCCAAGTGTGGTAAAAAGTGATCGAAGCGGAAGCGACAGCTGGTAGTCACCTGAAATTGCTTCTGCTCCAGATGCGCCACATTTTTCTCGCTGAGTGCCTTTTCTTGTAGTTCTCGGTTGTAATGCAGTAGCGTTTCCACATAGAAACAGCTATTTAGTTTGATTGGAATCTCTTTCGACCTCTACTATTCAAGGAAACAACAGAAAACAGATTGATTTTGGCTCTGAGCGGTAGGACCGACAGAGTCGGAACTAGTGGTAGACCACAATTTTTCCTAACATCTCACAAAATTTTCAAAACGAATGTAGAAAGAGAAAGGTACCTGTCGTCCAAGGTTCTTGCTCTCCTCTTCATAAACACGATTCACTTTGGTCAGAAGCTGGAAAAGGTAGGATTCATTGTCAAGAAATATATGGGCCGAGTCTTCCCGGAAGAGATGAGCGGACAGCTTCAAGGTTGTTCCAGAACTTCCGAAAACTTCAAAGTAAAACAAACCTCAATAGCGTTGTGAAGTTTGGCAATTTCGATCTCCTTGGCCTGGATGCTCTTCGTCTGCTCTTCAACGGTCGTCATCAGGTCTTCAACAGTGGCTCGTTGAGCCTGCTCGGCTAGTTTTAGTTTCCTCACTTCCGATCCGAGACCATCACAATTCCTCGACAAGCAGTCGTTTTCTTTTCTACAAATGATACAGGTGATTAGTGAGGGGGATGAGGTTAAAGCCCATGAGCTGACCTGATCTGATCGAGTTCCCTTTTCAGAGCTCCTTGCTCGTTATGAAGATCGGCATAGGCTCTCAGTTGGCGATCTCGCTCGGTACGTTCATGCTCGAGAGCCGTTCGCATTTCATCCAACTCACGCGAGTGGCTAACGGCGATCGGCTGAAAATAAGGGAAACTTGAGTGGTGACAGTTTGTCACATCCTGTGACCCTATAGGGCCCATGAACAAATGTATAGGAGAGCGGAGTATGATTTTATGACCCGTCAACTGCCCCTATCAATCATTATTATTACGGAAATCCTAATGCATGATCTAAGGCAGTCGTCAATATATTAGGCGATTGTAATCACGATAAATAAGATGTGGATGAACAAGATGAAATATCGAAGGGAAGGAATAGACTGCAGAAACTTTTGAACCAATCTAGGCCCTATCCTTTGAGATTACTAGCGGGGAGTAGCAAGAAAGACAGGACGAGTTGGGAAGGGCTTTTCCAGGTTCTTCTATGCATCACTTTGGGCACTGAAGAGGAAGTGTGAATAGAAGGAGTAGTGTAGACGGAATATAGGCCCATTCAATTGCGATTGATGGGTTCCGTTGAGTGACAGGATCGTTGCTGAGAGGTATAGGAGCTATTCTGGGTGATAGATGGCTACCCCACCCTATACTCACATCGGGAACACCGTCAGCAAAGACAAAGAACAACGTGCTCCTCCAAGAACATCTAAGCTTCCTTAGATCAAGCATGGTCTGAGACATTGAAATAGGAGTGAGTTCTGGAAAGACTCACAAGGGAACATCCATGAGATGAGTAGAAGGTAGTAACAGACAGGTCTACTACTTCAGCGAAAAAAGTCAAGCACGTGATGGTATGGACAAGTTTTTGGGGATGGAGCGCTCTTCCTGTTTTCTGTTTAGATTATTATGGAGTAGCGGATTGGGGTGCAGCCATTTACCACTACATGTTCAGAGTGGGTAAATTTCGATAGGGATAAAAATCAGTGCCAACTTTTCCCCAAGCGTTATCTTTTGACATAAAGCCGCTCCGAGTAGAGATTTTTACAACGGTTGGGGTATAAACAGAAGAACAGTAAGGTTACGTGACAAGAAGTAGGCGGTATTTGTGAAATTTCATGGTAAAATGAAATAGTTCTCCGCAGAAGGACAAACAAACGACAGTGATTCCCAGTAAAACTGACCCGCTGTGATTTCAGTTTTGACTTCATGTCGACGTTTTCGAGACGAGCACGTTCGTAATCCTGGGTGAGCAGATCGTGCAGGTTCTGTAGACGATCGTGATCGCTCAGAAGAGCTTGATGCATGGCCGCCAACGAATCCTAAACGATACTCGAGCGGGATCCATTACAATCCAATTAGCGGCTACTGTAACCGTAAGAACTAACAGCGTCTTTTTTGGCAATTAGCCGTGACTTCTCCGCCAAATCGATTTGCACTCGTAATTGGGCGTTATCCTCACGAAGAAGTTCTTCCTGAAATCAATAGGGTATTGATCTCGGTAAAATCGACCTCCACACCTGGGCCATTCTCCAAATGTGTTCTCTATAAGGACACATACACGAGACGAATTAGTGAAATTGATCAAACCCATAGGAACTTTTGAACACTAACGATATCACTTTGGAGCTAAGAACTTTCGATTTCAGGCCTGCCTCAACTTCTCGATTTATTTATTTTGCAGTTCCGGGTTAGGCCTGCCACACACTCCAAGTTTTTGGGGTTGGTCTCGGTCTTTCGGTAAGTACGGTACGATAAAGTTAGCTAACCTGAAGTTGTAGGTTCCGTAAAGACACTTGTAACCGGGCCAATTCTGTGTTGGATGCAGATGCAGTGGTCTGAAACAATGTATAGAATGTTAGCCGAAACAAAAAATCGACAGAACCATGGAAATGACTCAAACACGAATCATCAGAATCACGAATCATTTCCACATAAAACCCAGATGTTTCGTGATATATTGCTGATCTTTTTGCATAGTGCTACTCTAGAGACTAAAAAAAGTATTGTGTACTTCAGCTGGAGTAAGTAGTTCCACATAGGTACTGTCTAGTTTGAGCCTAACCTCGATATGGATTATACGGTAACAGTACGGTAACGCTAAGATTCACATTGACTGTTTCCGGTATACCACAAAGAAAACGAAGCAAATTAGATAGTGCTATTTCTCGAATAAAATACATCCTGTATGGATAAAATAGCGAAAGTTATACAGGAATATATTTAGGAAGAATTATTCGACCTGATGAAGGATCGGTAAGGAAGAAGGAATGACAGCCACTGACGATCGCGCAAGAGATGGAATAATTGGCATGTGATATATGTAGAGGGCCGAACGGGATGGAGGGGGACGTGGACAGAAACGATAAAAATCTCCTTGAGCGCTGATGCATAAAATATGTACGACGATTAGCGATCAGATGTTCGTACTTGTTGTGAATGGGCCAAAAAGGCCAATAAAACTCAATGCTGCCAATGCTTCATCCTCCTGAATTTTGTGGACAAACCGCATGTAAGCGGTTGTGCATGGGCCTACTTAAACTCACCGTTGACGGTACAGGAGTTGAAGAAAATATTGAACTATATGACCATACTTCGAAAATAAAGATTTACGTGTGAGATGAATATTGATCATATACGCGCAAAATCAATTATCACTTCAAAACACAAGCGCCAATGCGGCAGGAATTGAACGATAGTTTCAGCTTTGACAGAGCCTATTTTACTACGTCTCCATCTTAACAGTTCAGATCACCAATTTGATAGAAGAATCCCATAAATCACCCAACTACCGAACAGAGCGGATAAGCAAGCGGGAAAAGTGACAAGAGCAATTCCTGAGAGCAAGCTTCTAAGCCAACCAAGCTTTTTTACGACAAGGAAAGAGTGCTGCTTCGAATTGCAGACATAAGATTTCTGAAGAAATACGTGAGACACGAGCATCATGGACGCTCAATCTGTCACGTTCCTCAGAGTGATCCTTCTAACCAACTTCCATCAAGCCCTAAGACGATTAGTCACAGTTTCCCAGAAATCAGACAGTTTCGTAACGTCAACCTTGGGATAAAGAGAGAGGAAAGAGTGACTATAGGCAAAGATCGTACAGGTCACCAAAAAGAATCTGGAAAACGTTGAAACCATAAAAATCACATAATGACTGGGAGTTCTATGAAAAGCGGACATGGACAAAGCTAAGGCGGAGTGAGGGCTGATTGTGTCCCTTTCAACAATTCCTCTGAGCTCACATTACGTTCCAGAAGAAGCCGTTGAAGCGAATACCCCACGGCACGAACAGTGCCCAATATGTCCCAGGGGAATAGCAGATGATGAAAAAATGTCGACATTTCGGTCTCAATGTTCACAGAGGACTCTATTGACGAGTTGATGAGTAGCGTGGTCGTAATAATTCGGCTTGGTGTAAGAATCACCTAAGTAGAGCCAGATGCACTCTTCGAACTACACGCCTCTCTGAGTGGCCCAGCAAGAGGTGAGGCGTATTACAACGTGTCACGAACGTAAGCAGGAAACTGACATTGACCTGGGTAAGGCTTCACATCAAATGTGAATGTGTCCGATCGCCGTTCCTATTGGGAAACCGAACCGCCGCTAAGCCAACGCCCTACATCATCACGTCTCTCGTTTCTTCTTACAGCGGTCTGTTCAATTTTTTGCACATCCTTTTCGAGGATTGAAGCTTAGATTGGAGAGCGCGAAGCTGCAGATTAAAAAAGATTTTCATGATGATGTGCCATGCCTCTGGCATTGTTACAAAATGAACAAGACATTTGAAAGACAATAGATTTCAAAGCTTGTGATGGTAAGGTAAGCAGGTAACATGAAAAGATTCCACCTTGAAGAAAGACGTCACCAATGACTGAGGTCCACATCGAAAACAGTAACCACAAATCGCAAAAAGAGTAAGTAGTGGAGGATCAGGAGAAGCGAGAGCATCTTGACCGTAAATCCCGGGATCGTAAATTCCTCAGGACAAACACCCTAACGAGTAGCTAGGTCATAAAATGTTCCCATAAACGAGGAACAACCCTTTTCCTCTACGAAGTAAACTTTTCTTCTTTGATGTCGTGCAAAGTTAACTGCCAGCTATTACAAGAAATGGAAAAAAACGACCTAGCCATTCATTTCGTAGAGAAAGTCAAGGTTCACTTTGGACATAAGCCTACTGGCATAAGCCCCTTCGCTACTCGGAATGATGACAAACACTAACATCCAGAAAACTATCATATACGTATTTTTTCCTTGGACTCCAAAATTGAGGGACTGTAAAGTGGCTTATAATTTCTTATACACACTGTTCTCCATTTATATTCGTAATTAAACGTTACTTTCCAAAAAATATTCATAATTGAGGAATTTCTTATGAATATCAGTTTACTATTGAAGCCGAATAACCTACTATGATCAACAGTGGTCTAAAGGGAACGATGCTTCAAGCTTTTCTAGAATGAAAAACTTAGCATTAGAATCATACCGAGTTTCTGCTGAGCTCTTCGATTCCACGTTTAGCCGAGGCGATCTCACTATTCTTAGCAGCAACTTCGACTTGAAGCTCTCGAACCTTCTCTTGAGCAAGGAACACCTAAGATAGGCTAGCTTCAAAATAGTTGAAAAACAAAAAACAATCAGTCAAAAACTGTCCGAACCCTTGAAAATACCAGGGATAGTAAAGCACTACTAGCAGAGAAAGCGCTTGGAGTGGAAATGTCGCGATGGACGCGATTAGCAATCCGGAATAACGCCATAAAACGTATATCGCCACATGCCGATTCGGCCACTGGCAAACGCTTGAGGAAAAGCGGCTTGTGAAGAGAAAAGCTACGTGAACGAGCTATTGCCCTCAAATACTACCGTACCTGTTCTTTGAGGGAGACGTTCTCTTTGGACAGTTCGCGGACGCGATCGTCACTTTCGTTGAGCGAGACGCTTTCACTTCTTCTGAAATTCCGAAAGATGAGAGCAATACCTGCCCAACACCCAGCAGGGGTGAAGCCGTAGCGGATCGGTGACATCTGGATCTACCTATGTATGCGTGGTGATTTAGCATGCAAATGGGTCAGAAAATGGCGTAAAGCGTTGATGGATCGCCAGCTGGACGGACGTCAACTGCGGTACAGAAAGGCTTACGTCTAGTGTCAGCACAATATTCAAAAATCCCCGAACTGAACCACCGCTATTACAACAGGAGAGAAGGAGATGGGAAGGAGGGTGGGAAGTTATAGGGGTTAAAAGGCCCTGAATCAGCAGATAGTGCGATTCCTGCGTTCCTTTTGCTGTGCCCTCGACTCACCTTTCCTCGCCCCCTTCATCTCTCTTTAAACTTTTCAAATTTTCAGGGCGATAACCAGCACGTAAGCTATGCGGCTAGGCTCTGAAACTCGATACCCACTCGACTGCAATTGCATGAGTGAGAGAATGGAAAATCACTGAGCGGCTTCCGTTGCTCTTTATCACCTGACCGTAGTTTCTTAGTAGCGAATTGGAAGAAAGGATCCCGGTGCGAAAATTACTTGCAGGCAATGGACAAACTATTTCATTTCCAGATAAAACTACTTCGGATAAGCTACAAATCCGCATTTTCCAGGAACAGGTAATAGTCAGGCTTTTCAGTGCAGCAACGTATGGAACCTTGCTAGATGGAATTTGATCTTCAAAAAAATAGATAGAACAATCCAAAAGTCTTTGTTAGTGCTCCCGTACTTCCTGGACCGAATCGAAAAAAACGATCGGCCTTAATCAATCTTTTAGCAGCAATCTTGCGCTAAGCAGTTCAGTTTTTGGCCTCGCTCAGTCATTCTAAAAATTCTTAGGGAAAGAAGTTACCTTGGGCCGGAACTTTTGTAGTGGGTGGAATTCTAGCTTCTGGACAGGTTCA